AGTTCAGGGTCCCAGGTGGCCAGAGCCTATCCCAGCAGCTCAGGGCACAAGGTGGAAACCAGCCTTGAGCAAACACCCTTCCATTTCAGGACCACACACATACCTCCACACTCACTCAGACTGGGACAATGCAGAGACCCCAGTTCATCCTAACGTGCGCATCTTTGGGGTGTGGAAGGAAACCTGAGTACTCAGAGAAAATCCACAAAGACATGGGGAGAACATGCAAACTTCACACAGACAGTGGCCCCTGCTGGGAATCGAACTTTTTTTTCTTATCAACATTCTAACAAAATGACACTGAACAAAATGATGTTATATAAGAACCTGCTGTAAAGTCTTTTCTAAGGAAGATAAATCACTGCCTCTACTGGAAGCTATCCTATATAATAAAAGGCTAATATGCAAATAGTCGTGATGCCCTCATGCCATAACGACCAATCAGCAGGAGGCTGTGTGTGCAGCAGGTGCGGGTGGGCGGGGCTGCGTGCACGGTGAGGCCGGGGGATGTGAGGCTGCATCCCCCACCTGGTGCCCGCTGGGGGACACGACGCTGTTATTGTTTATTAATAAATTTATATATTATTTTCATATACATTTTACTAATTTTCTTTCATCTCTGACACTTCTATTATAAAGGGCAAATAGCAATATTAAAATATTTCCTCTAATTAATTCCCTTTCAATGTGCACGAATTTCGTGCACTGGGCCACTAGTCAACTATAATCCTTTTGCCAACGATTAGATTGGCTGGTTCCTCTTTTAGTGGTCCAAGCTGACAGCACATCTGTATCTTCCATCCTGATGTCTCTGGGAACTCCAAGTTCGTATATCCAACTGTCTACTTGCCATCTCTATTTGGCAACCTCTCGGGCATCCCAAGCTTAACCTAGCCGAAGCAGAAGTCTTCATTTTCCCAACCTAGCCGAAGCAGAAGTCTTCATTTTCCCCATCAGTCCACTCCTCCCCCTTTGTCCCTATTTAACTCAATGGCATAACCAACTAATTTCTCAAATCAAAACTTTGTCATTCTTGATTCCTCTCATATTCAGTCCATCAGCAGGTTGGCTTCCACGATCCAGCACATACAAGTGTATACCATCAACACCCAACATCTGGCAGCTGGACCATTGCAACAGCAGTGAACTGAAATGGATAACTGGTCACCTGTTTCCATTCTTGCCTGGCTATGAGACATCTTCCTTGCAGAAACTGAAATGATCTATTAAAACTGGAACTCATGCCCTGGCCAGTAACTCAGTTGGTTAGAGTATCATCCTGATATGCCAAGGTTGAGGGTTCGATCTCTGGTCAGGCTATATACAAGAGTTAACCAATCAATGCATGGATCAGTGGAACAACAAATCAATGTGTTTGTTTTTCTCTCTCCCAAATCAATAATACCAATTTTAAAAGTGGAACTTACATTACTTCTTGCTTAAAATCCTCCTAGGGCTTCCCGTTATGATGGCTAACAAAGCTCTACAGAATTGACCCTTTTTCCTCCCCCATCTTACCATTATCATTCAGGACGCACTGCTGCTTTTCTGTCCTCAGATACGTTAAGGTGTTTTCTGCCTAGAGCCCCTCACAATCTCAACTGCACTGCGAATACTCCTGTCTGCTAAGGAAGATGGACGCTATGGGTCTTTGGTGTGATAAGAAATTACAGAAA